TCTGTATATGTTTTGAAAAAGATTAGAGGAGTGAAACAGGGACTGCTTCCAGTAAATTCCATTGGGACCACACTACATTTGTAACTCTTCTGAAATGGATCAGAATATTGTGTTTGGATCTAAATCCTTGTGCAAATCTACAAATACAGTTTAATTTTTAAGGCTACTATGTAAGACATGTGCAGAATACATTTCTCAGGTTATTGAGAATGCATAGTCTACCACTGTGTATCTTCTCTTGGTCAAGGAGGGGAAAGCAAGAAAATATGGCTTCATTCAGGGCCCTTTCACACTTTCACACTAAGCAATTATAGCACGATGATTCCACTCTTAACAATCATGATTCCATCGCATAGGACCATGGCATTTGCATGTTGGTGAAGTAGATTGTGTTCAGATTACACTATGATTTGGTTGTGTACACTTTTCCAAACCCTATGCATAGAAAAGGTATTGCAACATTGAACCCACTGCTTCTGCAATATGCGATAAACTCTCAACAGGAGTAGAGATTAGCACATGAAAACTGGAGTTTGGGTCCCTGACCAAAACATTGTTCATCTGTTAACATATTGAACATCCTCATACAGATGTTATGTATAATAAGTTCTACTTTTACCTATTCTGAAAATCAGTTGTTGTTGTTGCTACTATTGGTAAAAAGATTCTCAATAGCTCAGGGCTGTACAACACATCCTGGCTGTTTTGTCCCCTCCATCACAGCAGAAAAGCAGTTTTGAAGAATAGTATTTTAAATTCAAAATTAGGCACATGGTTCACACATTAATATAATTTCTTGGGTGACTAAATCATATTTAAAATTACATTTGTAAAGGTAGCTATTTAACATCCTCTCATTATGATAAACAAATGTCTTCCTGTCTAGCTGTCCCTTTCCTTAATATATTATTAATCTAGAGTATTGTCAGGATATTAATATGAATCTAAAATATTTCCCCCCCTCCTTCAGATTTCTACATGTTGATGGATGGAAATTTTGTATTTCTTTCTTTTTGTGTTTCCCTCTCTCTTTTTTTCTTTTTTCTTTCTTCAGACGACAGCTCCCTAAGAACTATATTTGAAAAAAAAAACCCAAACCCAAACAAAAATAATGAATTATATAGGTAGTTAGATGTGCAAAGACTTAATTATATATATATAATGTTTCCATTCATACAAAGATGCTAATTATGAATGACACTTTTGCTTTAGGATATAGTTGTTGAAAGAGATATTGTAGCACTTTGGGGGCATGTCTACACCAGCCAAACAAAATGGTCTCACCTACTTCTCACACAGAGCTGTCTAAACAAAGTTTGGGATGATTGGAGTCAACTGGGCCTTTTTTATGGCTTCAGGGCTTTAATCTAGGGGGAGGGAAATGGAGATTTATCGTTGGTTTGAGTGGAAAATCTAGATATCTGCATGTCTGTGTGGACTGCTCTCCATAGCGATGTTGTTGTGGGGCGGGGGGAGAAGTTCAGAAATAGGTATATTTGCATGCTGTGATTGATCAGACTGGCGTGGGTTTGAAAGGGAGAACTGTGTATTGAGTGCCCCTTCTGGTGCAGCGCATCAGGACACTGCGCCGGGAGGATGTCCTGACACTGTGCGCCATGCGTAACGGTGTGTGGCATCAGGACATTGTTGGGCTGGGTTTGGGGTGGCTGGTGTGCAGCTGCCCCTCCCCATCTCTGCCTCCAGGTTGGCCCTTTGGGTCGGTCTGCAGAGGCCCTCTGTCTACTAAGGCTTATGCTACAAGGTTCTTTCCACATATCAGAATTAAAGCAGTTTGACGTTACCTTAACTGTCAATACTCTGTCCTTCAGAATCCTGGAGTTTGTAGTTTGGTGAGGCACTAGGGTTCTCTGACATACCAGGCTGAATACCTCACCAAACTACAAATACAAAGATTCTGTAGGATAGAATCAAGGCAGTTAAAGTGGTGACAAACTGCTTTAATTCTGCAGTATGGATATATCCTCAGTCTCAAAGGTTTCATACAACCTAGAAAATCTCATAGAATCATAGAGTTGTAAGAGACCACAAGGGCCATCCTGTCCAACCCCTTGCCATGCAGAAACTCAAAATCAAAGCATCCCCGACAGATGGCCATCCAGTCTCTGTTTAAAGACCTCCAAAGATGGAAAATCCACCACTCTCTGAGGGAGTGTGTTCCACTGTCAAACAACTCACACTGTCAGGAAGTTCCTCCTAATGTTCAGGTGGAATCTCTTTTCCTGTAGCTTGAATCCATTGTTCCAGCTCCTATTCTCTGGAGCAGCAGAAAACAAGCTAGTGCCCTCCTCAATATGACATGCCTTCAAATATTTAAACAGGGCTACATATTACCTCTTAAGAGTCTCTTCTCCAGGTTAATCATACCCAGTTCCCTAAGCCATTCCTCACAGGGCATGGTTTCCATACCCTTCACCACTTTAGTCGCCCTCCTCTGGACATGCTCCAGTTTTTCAACATCCTTTTT